TGAGGGGGGGTTGGGGGGGGGGGGGGGGGAGAGGGTGTCGGAGGGCAGGCTAATGGGGGGTGTCAGGGAGAGTGTGGGGGGGAGGCAGCAGGACAAAGCGGCGAATCCCAAGGTCACCCCCGGGCCGCCTGTTCGCCAGAAGGATCGATGTTCCAGGTCAGTGGGGTCTATTAGTGGAGCAGGCCAGACCAGGGGAGGCAGAGGCCTTTGCATTCTGCTTCCTTTCCAAAGGGGCAATTATCCCGCTGCCCTTGACAGCACAGCAGCAAGCCTCATATTTGGTTTCCCTATGGGGCAGGAAGGGTCCAAACAGCATACCCAACTCCCAGCCCTACCCCGCACTTGCAGGCCTGTAAGGAGCCCAGGGACGTTGCAACGTGGGCAACCCCAGGCTGCCTTCATCAGAATCCCCCTTCCATCAAAACCAAGGTCCTGCCCTAAAGCATCCCGTGCTGCCGTTTGAATGGCTGCCGGTTTCGCCCCAGAGGTGGCTGCCTTTCTGCTGGAAGCTGGGATCCCTCCCTTTCTCTGGGCGATGTTCCACACCCGTGTGTGAAAAGGGCCACACAAAGGCTCAGGTCCCGTCTGCCCACGGCGGGAGTTTCACTCAAGTCGGTGGAGCCGCTCCTGGAAACGAGGGAGGCCGGATCAGGCCCCTTCCCGGGGCCAAGAGGAATCTCGGCCGAAGCAGGCGCGAATGGGCCGAAAACTCAGCGCCACTTTCTGCTAAGTGGCAAATGATTATTCATTCCGTCACTCCACGCGGCCATAAACTTTAATCACAATGAAGTCAGTTGATTTCCATGCACTGTAATCCTGCGCCGATCCGACATGAATTAATGGCCACTTACGGGAATGGAAAGGGTTTGGAAGTTAGCGCTATGGGTTTAGGTTGGTTTTTTTTTTCAAAAGATGGATGGCATTTGGAGCGCTCACCAGCAGACAGCTGGACCCGTCACTGAGCTAAAAACGCCTCTTCTGGCTCCTGGTTCCCTCTGTCACCTTGAGCTGCCTGCCGCCTTAGCGATTTTAAAGCACTTTTGAGGGTTTTTTATCCCGACCGATACCATAGATGTTTATTTTCCAGCCCTTTTCCTGGATTTTTATCCATTTCCATTGCTGATGATTTGTAGATTTCTAAGTATCCCCCTCAAGTATTTATTGGTTCAGTTTTCACAGCGGCAGGAAACGCTGGGGGTGCCAGAGGGGAAATATTTAAGGATGTTTTTCCAGCAGCGTTTTTGTTACTTTGCCGATCTGTACACGCCTATTATCAACAGTGACATATTTATCCTGGGGTGTGTGCACCTACGATGAAATTGATGTTTGCTGATCTCAATCGAGAGAGGCAGTGAATCCTTCCAAGCCAGGAGAAACAGGTCACTGTGGCCTCCTAGTTTAAACCGGCAAGTTCCTTAGGGCAGACCCCTTTTGTTCTGTCTTTGTAGAGCACCCCCATGCCTGAGATCCTGGTGCATAATGGGGGCTCCTTCAGGATGCTGTCCCAAAACATAGGACAATAAGTTATGAAGTGATTTGCCCTCGGCCGGCGATGGGAGGCTAGTGAAGGGGTGGCATGAGCAGCCTCCTTCATCTCAGGGGGCTGCAGGATTGTTGGAACCAAGGGGGTCTCCCGGGAGAGGGTGGATTGGCTCACTCCGCTGGCAGGCCTCGATTTGCAGGCTATGCTGGTGGAACCGGAGCCGCGCTGTGATTGGCTGCAGAGGGAGCGCCCGCCTCTCACAGTCGGTGCTGGGTGCAATCCGCATGCACCTCACTTCCCGTGCCCCTGGCTTTACGAGCATGGTCATTTGGTAACACCAGTAGGGAAAAATGGGCGTGGATGAAAACCAGCACGTGGCAGCAGAGAATCAAAATGTCTCATGGGCCACATGTAGGACCCTGATGGGCTGCATTTGCCCCATTGATTTCCCCGCCTCTCACAGTCGGTGCTGGGTGCAATCCGCATGCACCTCACTTCCCGTGCCCCTGGCTTTACGAGCATGGTCATTTGGTAACACCAGTAGGGAAAAATGGGCGTGGATGAAAACCAGCACGTGGCAGCAGAGAATCAAAATGTCTCATGGGCCACATGTAGGACCCTGATGGGCTGCATTTGCCCCATTGATTTCCCACCACGGCTCTCGGGCATGCACGGAGCCACTGGCGGATCCAGAGCCCCTGAGACGTTTCAATGTCTCCGAGCTATTTTTAAAGCAGCCCCTAACGTTCAGTCCCAGCTGGAGGGTCCTTGCTGCTGACTTAGGTAGCCCCCTCTTCCTTGTATGTAAGCATTACCAACCTTTTAATGTCAACCCACCCCCAGCCTCCTGCGAGTCCCACCCTTGCTCCCGGACTTTGCCAATTTCAGCAGGGCCTTTGATGCTCCGTTCCGTGGTGCACCTGCAAGCCGACCTCGGGGCCTTCCCCCTGCTGGGGGCCGGGCGAGGGTGTTGGAGGTGCAGGAGAGGAGGGGATTTCCTCGTGGG